AAAAGCATAAATGAGGAGATCATAACTGCAGAAGATTTCATTTAAAAGCAAATAAAAGAATAGAGAATATAAAGAAGATAAGAGATAAAAATACAATTAAAAAAATATCCAAAAAACATAGGAAAAATACCCAATAAAAAACCACTTCTTTTCTGTTAATTTCTGTCATTTTAGATGCTGAATGCTGATAAAATAATTGTTTACAATCTGATACCTGAGCAACAGGGTACAATGGTAAGCAAAAGCACCCTTAACTTTTTATTTTCATTTTTAATCCCACGAGGAGCAACACAGAAAATTGTTATGATTTCTTTGCAAAATGTTTTTTTTTTCAAAACATCTTCACTTCCAACAAGACGGCAAGCAACCACTACTAGAGTTGGAAGTTGCTAGAATAGAAAAGATGCAGATTATAAAGCAAGAAAACGGTAAACAGAGGACTTAAAAAATTTCAAATTATATGAATCAGGAAAACAAGATGAAGGAAGTGAATTCCGAAGAACAGATTTTCGAGGAAAAAAACTAGATGAATAAGAACTTTTGGAGCACTTAGAAACAATCACAGTAAAAGGATGAGACTTATTTGAATGACGAGTATCACAAGAATCAATTTTAATAGATGGCACAAGAGATGCTAGCTCCTTAGAGCAGCGCCCATTATAGTATTTATAAAAAAGAGAAAGAGAAGCAACATTACGACGATGTGACAATGGTTGAAGGTTGGCTTTTTCCTATGTGCTCCGAAAGTTCTTATTCACCTAGTTTTTTTCCTCAAACATCTGTTCTTTGGCCAAGTGATCAGAGAGTGTTGGCTTCTTATCAAGACAAGAATAAATAGTAGTATCGTCAGCAAACAATGCCACCTTAGATCACAAATCAGCAGCAGAACGAGATGATCAAAATCCATATTGATGATCAGAAAAAAGATTATTAGATTCAAGTTGAGAGATTAAGTGTTTACTAATTAACGACTTAAAAACCTTGCTGATTATAGGATGAAGACTAATGAAATGGTAGCTAGACAAGTCAGATCGCCTTCCAGAATTTTTGAAAACAGGGATAACAGAAGCTGTTTTCCAGCAGGCTAGAAAACAAGACTGATAAGCACTTGTTGAATAGTTTTCAAAGTATAGACGACAGCTCAGGAGAACACTTCTGCAAGACTATAACAGGTATGTTGTTCAGACCACAAGCTGTAGGTGAGTCTAAGCAGGAAATCACTTTGGATAAAGAAGCAGGAGTGATACGAATGTCAAGCAATGGATCAACCTGTTTGTCGGCTACATCAAGTAGGATGTAATTGGTGGAATCAAGAGATGAGATTGATGAAAAGTTCTTAGCAAACAATTCAGCTTTGTTTTTAGGTGAAGTAACAAAATTTGAACCGTGTAAAAGTAAAGGAATAACAGATTTGCCTTTATTATTGACACTGTTAAAGATTCTCCAGAAGTCTCCAGAGCCTAATTTTGAGATGAAATACAAGTTTTCATGACCTGAGAATAGTGGGTTTTGGCATTAGATAAAAACTTTTTACAATAGTTTCAAGCAATAGTGAACAGATATTTGTTATCTAAAGAATTGCTTTGGCGATAGATATGGAAGTAATGGTTACGACTGGAGATTGCAGCAGCACAATGAGAGGAAAACCATGGAGAAGAGTGAGGATTGACTTGGAATTGTTGAGAGGGAATAAAAGATTCCATGTCAGCCTGAATCCAAGAAGTTACATAAGAAGTACATTTGTCAGCAGTAAGACAAAAAATTTCTACCCAAGGGCCATCACAAAGAAAATCACAGAAAGATTCCCAGTCAGCTTTAAGGTAGTTGTAAGAGGTTCAATGATAGGGAGATTCTGATGATAAAGAAGAATGAGATAATAGTTTAAGAAAGATCAAACCATGATCAGAAGCACCTAAGGGTGAATATGGAGAAACTGAGCACTGACTAGAATCAGAAACAAGACATAAGTCAAGTAGAGAAGGTACATGATCCAAATTATCTGGGAAGCAAGTTGGAAAGTTGACTATTTGTGTTAAAGATTAAGAAACACAAAAGTTGTGGGCCATAATGCCTGCAGAGTCACTGACACTAGAACCAAGCCATTCAGTGTGATGAGCATTAAAATCACCAACAACAACGTTGGCTGAAGGATAAAGAGAGAGGGCTTGGTCAATTTCATCAGAAATTATATCGAAAAGAGTGCAGTCTTGAGATGAAGGAGAGCGATATAAGACAAAGAGAAAGGTGATAGAGTGAAGTGGTGCTAAACAAAAGCACATAAAAGAATAGTCTGAGGATTCGAACCTAGTTTCCCGACAAATGGGTGAATTCTTACGAATGTAAATGCCCAGGCCAAGCATGTGACTATTGGAGTCTTTACGAATTAAAGGAAGATAACCATCAACACAAAGATCACAAGATGAGACAGTCGAACTCAAATTAGTCTCACAAAAAGCAAGTAGGTCTGGTGAACTTTGCAGGAGATAAGACTCAACAGAAGAAAAGTTACTTCGAAGACCACGAATATTAGTGAATGATAAATTTAGAGACCTTGGTGATGACGATGATTTTTTGTGTTTAATAGTTTTTGATATTTTAGTCATTTTTCAAATTGGTTAAGGAACTTGAATCAAAGCACAGATAGTACTCAGTAAACTATTAAATAGTCCAAGCAAATGCCTTATTTCTATTAATAAACTCTAAGCTGTAACAAAGGGCTCCAAATGTGGCCAGGACAATTCACACCAAAAGTGCAAACAGGGACACCAACCATGAGCAACATGGCACTGTTAGTTGATATTTTAGAGCTGTTGATGGAATCAGCCTCTCTGAGAGCTACCACAGAGTTGGGGAAACTTGACTACCAGCCGGCCTCAGAATCATAAAATTTAGTTTTGGAGCTGTACCCTCATTAGGAGATAATAGAATGAGTTGCCTAGTCATAAAAACAGAGACACAAGCAAAACCCATGCACTCAATCATCAAGATCCAGCATTCAACATCCTAAACTGGAAACAATGTATTGTAAATACATCTACGCCAGCCTAATAGATGAAAAAGGAGTGCGAAGCTGGTCAACAGATAGAATCTGTTTACCCCTTAAGTCTTTGCCTAGGAGGCCTTCTACAAGACAGTAGCCGGATGCATTTAACATCTGCCCAAGATGAGTACTTTTATCGAGACACCATCTATAGCCTTTACTAAACCAAGAGCCCCAAGACAGGGGGTGTTTTAAGTCAGAGTTGGCATCTCCTAGCCTTTGCCTAAAAAAGTGTATCCTACAAGGCAGCAGGATATGAAACAGGTTGCACTGGGTTACATGTTACCAGTAGCAGGATAACCTGACCTGACTTTGCTTGCCGTCATCATGTTGGTGACTTTAAATGTTATGTTTGCAAAATTACAGGTTAAGTTATGCTTTCAAAATTACAGGTCTATATTATGCATTATAAAGCAAAGTTATGGTTTATCAAAAATAAAAGATAAAAAAAGCTGGAAAAGTACCCAATTTACTCCAATTAACCTTACTATATTATACTTTTTTAAATATAAGATTCAAAAAAAAAATTATTTTAATATATCTTTTGCAATAGAACTCTAAATACAAAAACTATAGTTTATAAACTATAATAACTATAATTTAATCAAAATAAATTTTAGACACGAAATGAAATAAAGTCATGAAGTTTAGAACTTATTTTTTGAAGTTTTAGAAAAAAAAGTCAAAAAATAAAGTGTAAAGCGATTTTAACTTTTTACAAATTTTAAAAGTTTTAAATTCAATTTGAACAGCTTCTTATATTTCAATCTACTGAAAAAAGTGGCTTAAAAAAAAAACATTACATAAAGATAAAAAATATTTTTTTATTGAACTCTTAGAACACCCCTTTTTAGGGGCATTGAAGAACAAGAATGAGAGACTCGCAATATTTGGCATTATTTTATGACACCATGTGATAATTGAGGCCTGCTGGTATGGTTAAGTTCTACTTTTTATTTTACCCAACAGTTTTTGATAGGGTTTAAAACAAGCAAATAGCTCGAGAGCAAGAGGAAAAACTTTATTTTTTTTTTGATAATTTTTGCTGCACCATCATCGGCAAGTTCACCATCGTGCATGAAAATGTTAAGCTTTTACCCCAAATCATTATTGCTAGAAATTACTTAACAGAAGGTACAACATTTTTGGGATTAAAACAAAAGTTGGTGGCAGGTAAATATTGTCTTTGTGTGCTGCAAACCTCTTAAATTGCCATTTGACTAAGACATGACATGTCAGTACATTTCATACCATAAAAATTAATCTAATTTTTGTGTTCTTTAAAAAACTTGAGATAATCAGAAACTTTTTTTTTTTTAAATTATAACATATAGCTTGATAAGCAAAAAATTATAAAAAAGATAATAAAATTCATGAAAATAATCTTTACATTATATAAATACAAAAACATATTTTATTCATATTTTACTTTATGCTTCATATTTGAAAGAAATTCTTAAGGAAAAATATGATATGAAGACTTATAATGTAATATGAAATATGATATGAAAACACATTGCGCATTTTTAAAATATGTTTTTTTCCGAATAAAAACTTTCAATCACTCAAAATTAAGAAAAACAGTGCATAATACAATTAAAAGTTGGTCTAAAATTTAAAAATGATAAAATGCATCGCCATCTTAAGGTGTACAATGGCTGCACATGAAAGAATACTTTCCTAATTAAATTATTTTTGTATATATAACTTTATTTTCTATATACTGTTCTTATAAAAAAAGAACATTGAAATAATTATTCAAGTTTCTCTAAAAAAGTTGTTAAATATTGTTAAATATACCAAATAAAAAAAGTTGAAAGATATAAAATAGTTTAAAAAACAAACAAAACATAGCTAACATGAAATTAAGAATATTAATATAAAATTTTTTTTTTTTTTTTTGAACACATATATTTATCTAAAATGACTTATAATAATGCAACAAAGTTTTGGAACTTACCTAAAATAGACAACAAAAATGAAGATTCCTCAATAGATTTTTTTGAAGGATTCAGATTAACAAGAAACTTTATTAAACTATTTTGGCTTTTATTGAATAATCCAGAGATCATTGATAAACAACTTTGCAGCTTTTTATTGTCCATAATTTCTTTACAACTTAAACAATTATATGCATATACAGATGCACAAAACTCCATTAGTGTCAAATGTGCGAATTGGTAATGATAGCCTAAATGTGTTTCAACCCTTTCAATAAAACCAAAAAGACATTCTTCAACTTCATTAAAGTTAGTGATAAACAGTAAAACTTCCTCTTTTGAAAATATAAATTTATTTGCAATAAACAATTCGAAAGCTATCCTACAAATGCTTAAAACATATTTCTTATTGTTTTCATTTTCCATCAATTGATAAACCAAACCATCATTTTTGATAATGTGTTTTTGCAAAAAGAATAAAAAAATATTTGCATACAAATCTGTCATCGTTAAGAAAGATGTTGCATATATTTTGTTTGAATCACTGATAATTTTACTAATGCAAGATAAATAAAACGGAACAGATGCCATTGCTTTTGCAAATGGAGACCTCTTTAAAGTTGCTCTTACAACTTCTTTTTTTTCTTCTTTAACATTATTTTCTACATAATCATTTATTCCATTTTCATTAAACCCCATTATTTGAATGATTAATTTATCACTATGCTCTGTAGATATACTTTGATACCGATCAATTGCATAAACTCTACCAGCAACTACAGATTTGTATTTTCGAATTTCTGCTAAAGCATTAACAATTGGATAACTGCAAGTCAAATTTGGATTTACTAATTCATTTAAATATTTAAACTCATCTAATCCATCAATGATAAACATTGCAGTATTATTTCTAATATTAAAATCATTTGTAATATCTTTATAGAAAACATTGAGTAATTCATTAATATTAGAAATATTTTGATGTTGATTAAGCTTCCTACATTCCAAATAAAAGACAAGTTCAACAATTTTCCAAATTAAATTATTTGACCAATCAAGCAAACATTTTCTAAGCAACCATGTTTTCCCAATACCAGCTATTCCAGATACTAAAGTTACAGATTTTTCTTTCATAAATATTTCACTATATGATATTGGTGTATAACTCATTTGCTTTTCAAGAAATTTCTTTCGTTCAACACTAAACAAAACATCCATTTGAGCATTCACTGCATCAACAATACATAGATCAACAAATTGATGTAAAAGATCAACATTTGCAGGTACTTTTGATGGTGGTTGAATTTCATTTATTTTCCCATAATTGACAAGATAACAATTTTTTAATGCTGTGCATATTTCTGATGTATCTAAATATAAATAATCATCACAATCAGAACAGTACATAATAATCATAAATGATAGTTATGAATTGTTAATGTTTTTACTATTAACAAACTAATTCAAAGTTTTTTATTCAAGCTTCTCATTTAAAATAAATTCATGTTGAGGGTAATTAATCTTTCTACTGATTTGACAAATTTATCAAAGTTAATATTTAACTAATCATATTTTAAATATTTATTTTATAAATTCTATTTTTTTTTTTTAATATTAAAAACATCTATCATTCTTAGCACTTTTAAATAACTGGAGTTTCACAGTTAATAATGTCTACAGCATAATATATTTAATTCACTTTTACTTTATTAACCTCCTAAGGGGTAGGAGATTACTACAGTTGGGTTGAGTTGCTACTTATAAATTTTTTATTAATATTGCTGCAACCCTCTTATTACAAACCTTGAAAAACAAGATGGCTGTGTGGAGGAACAAGATTGCTGTGTGGAGAAAGCAACTTTAAGACAACTTCAAATTTATATTTGATGCACCATTTCTTGAAGAGTAAAGTAAATAAGACTGCTGAATGCAAAACCTGTAACACCATTGTAAAAATCAAAGGAGACTGCACAAGTATGATGCAAAAGCATAGAAAATAGAATTGCTATCATTAGTTTTTAAAAAAACATAAATTTAAGTTGTTCATAAATTTTGTGCAAGTAAAAGATACTATTGTCACTATACTAACAGATCTCATTTGATGGACTTTCATTTAACACTGTTGCTCTCTGTTAAGATCTCATTGTTTTAATTCAACTTCTTTTATAATATTTTACTTTGCCATGCCAAAGACATTAGAGGTCAACTAACAGCAAAACTAAAATGCATGAAAGCTTAAAATATTAAATTTAGTTTAACTGTTAATAAATACACTTAATAAATAAAACAGTTTGCTATATGAACATTAATGTACACCCAAATTAAAAAACAATCTTGGAAGCATTTTTGAGAGTATGCTATCTGAAAAAGCTGTTTAGATAGTAAGTGAAAAAATGAATGAATTTAAACTGGAACAATATTGTTAGTACAACTACAGATGGAGCATTAGTTATGATTAAATTTGCTTATTTAATCAAGCGAATAATATTGATAACATTAATAATGGTAGTGAAGATGAAATAATAGCAACTATATCATTAGCTAAAGATCTTTTACAAAGACTTTTAGTTCAAACAATTGAAGATTGTGATTGTAAAAAAGATAGTGAAGTTGATTTTGAGAATACTGAAGAAAAAAACTTGAAATTAAAATACACCAAGAAAAAGCTATACATATTGCTTGGTTAAAACAAGAACTAATTAATGAAGTTATTTGTATAAAATCACTTAATCAAAAACTTTTTAACTTTGATTAAACAAAAAATCATAGATCTAATTTGGAGACTATTTATTGTTCAAAAACAATATCAGTTAAGAGTGAAAGAATTTTTAGTGTGTGTGGATTGTTTGTAACTAAACTTAAAAGTAGTTTAAATGATAACACTATCGACTTTTGACCTTTATAAAATGTTACTATAAAATAATAAAAAATGATTTAAAATGAAAGTAAAATAGGCTTACAAACAGAAAACTACATGAACTCGTTTAACACATTTAAATTTATAGTCTAAAAGAAAATAAAGAAACCTTGTGTGTAATAACTTTTATAGCTTAGAAGTAAAAATTAAATCCAAATCCAAATTCTGATAATCTGGGTAGGATCTGAATTTGCATCCAAATAATTTTCCAAACCAGTTATGTCTTAGTTATAAAGTTAATACCTGGACCAACAAACATCTATGAATAACATACTTATTACTTAATTTCTTCTTGTTTTAATTGGAACTTATTGTTCAAAATTGGCACAATAAATGTATTGTTTTCAATTTTTAATCTAATTAAATTTTTAATTTCATATTTATTATATAGCTTGGGCAGTTGTTGATGTAACAAAAATTACAACAATAACTACAAAAAATTCAACTGCAAGAACTACAATGACAACAATATCAGCAGCAACAATGTAAGCAGTAACAGGTTAATTGACTATATTTTATATGATGTATTTATTGCTTCTAAATTTACATATTAAATCTATTTCATTACTTTTTTATCTTAAATCTATTGTAGAGTCCTGGTTACCTGGCTCGGTCCCGGTTTTCTGTCAGTTTCTCTAAAACCAAGATAAGCAGCCAGAACACCTATATATTTTGAGTACCTGGGAAAAGCGCTAATATATTCCAAGAAAGGTGCATATTACTTAAATACTTTGAGTACCCAGGAAATCCCATAGAATAGAGAAAAGATAAATACCTAACTCTGACCTGGAACCCAGCAGGTACCCGGCAGTTTTTCCAGGGTACCTGTGTCACATTGTTGCCTGTCTAGCATGATAAATTATAAGAATGAGATCTTATTTACCCTACTCATATACTTTTGATTGTGTCTCTTTGATTGTGGCTATGCAACTCTTCCTGTAATCTCCTAATGGAGATTACTGAAGGGTACAGCTCTAGAACCATTAAACTCAGTTTCATGGTTCTGAGATTGGCAGGTAGAAAGAGATACCTTTCTACCAGCTAATCTCAGGATGGGTATAGTGGGTTTGGCATAATTAAAGGCTTACTCCATCAAGAGCTGTAAAATATAAGAGAATTACAAGTGCCTAGTTGAGCTAGGAAGGTGTCCCTTATAGTGCTTTTGGTGGGCATTGTCGAAGCCACATTAGGAGCCCTAAGTTATGATTTTGGATGAATTTTACTCAGCAAAGAACTTTTCCTCAAACTCAATTCTTGAATCTAATGGCCATATTCTTCCTGCCATTTCAGTTAAACAAAGTTGACTTTTTGTTATCCAATCCACTCTAGCTTCTATAGCTCAAATTTTTTTTTTTTTTTTAAATATCTTCACTTCCAATAAGGCTGCAAGCAACCACTAATAGAGTTGGAAGTTACTAGAAGAGAAAAGATGAAGATTATAAAGCAAGATAACGGTTAACAGACGACTTAAAAGATTGCAAGTTGTATAAATCAGGAAAAGAAGATGAATGGAGCAAATTTCAAAGAACTGATCTTCAAGGAAAAAAACTAGAAGAATAAGAATTTTTGGAGCACTTAAGAACAATCACAGTAAAAAGATGAGACTTAATTGAGTGATGATTAACACGAGAATGAATTTTAGTAGGCCATTATTTGAAGATCTGCTCCAGATATAGCAACAGTATTCCATCAAGGTCGGATTTGAGATTTATAGAGATAGAATCCGGAGTGAGAATAGAACCCGAAGTAAGAAAGTGATAAGCACAATAAAGAGATGCAAACTTAGCAAATGCTAATTTTGCAATGGATTCGATATATGATTTCTGAGAAAGATTGGAAGTAAGAGATAGTTCTAGAGGACAAAGGGTAGATGACTTATCGAGTACATTACCATTCATATAGGAATTCATTACTATTCAATACAGGAAGATCAAGATTGTTGCGATAACGATTGGCTGAGAAAAATTGAGTTTTATTTTTTAAGTTCACCAGTCACAGAGAGCTCCTGTTTGAAAGCATACAAAGTTGTATGCTTTTAATAAATTTCAGGTTATCCTGCTACTGGTAACATGTAATCCAGTACAACTAGTTTCATGTCCTGCTGCCTTGTAGGATTCGCTTTTTTAGGCAAAAGCAAGGAGATGCCAACTCTGACTTAAAACACCTCCTGTCTTGGGGTGTCTTGCTCTTGGTTTAGTAAAGGCTAGAGATGGTGTTACGATAAAAATACTCATCTTGGGCAGATGTTAAATGCATCCGGCTGCTGTCTTGTAGAAAGCCTCCTAGGCAAAGACTTAAGGGGTAAACAGATTCTATCTGCTGACCAGCTTCGCACCCCTTCTTCATCTATTAGGCTGGCATAGATGTATTTACAACACATTGTTTCTAATGTTGAATGCTGGATCTTCTTGACTAACTGCATGGGTTTTGCTTGTGTCTTGTGTTTTTATGATTAGGCAAATCATTCTATTATCTCCTAATGGGGGCACAGCTTTAAAACTCAATTTTATGGTTCTGAGGTTGGCTGGTAGTTAGGTTTCCCGAACTCTGTGGTAGCTCTCAGAAAGATTGATTCTATCAACAGCTCTAAAATATCAGAGTACTAACAGTGCCATGCTGCACATGGATGGTGTCCCTGTTCGTACTTTTGGTGTGCATTGCCGAGGCCACATTTGGAGCCTTTTGTTACGGCTTAGGGTTTATCATTGGTAATGAGGCATTTGTTGGACTATCAAATAGTGTACTGATTACTATCTGTGCTTTGAGTCAAGTTCCTTAACCAATTTGAAAAATGACTAAAATATCTAAAACTATTAAACACAAAAAAACCATCGCCATCACCAAATTCTCTAAATCTATCATTCACTAATATTCGTGGTCTTTGAAGTAACTTTTCTTCTGTTGAATTCTGTTGAAACCTCTTGCAAAGTTTATCAGATCTACTTGGAATCCACAGACTATTCTTTAATGTGTTTTCATTTAGCACCACTTCACTCTATCATCTTTCTCTTTGTTCTATATCGCTCTCCTTCATCTCAAGACTGCACTCTTTTTGATATAATTTCTGATCAAATTGATAAGGCTTTCTCTCTTTATCCTTCAGCCAACAACGTTGTTGTTGGTGACTTGAATGCTCATCACACCAAATGGCTCGTATCTAGTGTCAGCGACTCTGCAGGCATTATGGCCCACAACTTTGTCTTTTTCAATCTCTAACACAAATAGTCAACTTTCCAACTCGCTTTCCAGACAATTCGAATCATTTACCTTCCCTACTTGACTTATGTCTTGTTTCCGATTATAGTCAGTGCTCAGTTTCTCCACATTCACCCTTAGGTGCGTCTGATCATGGTTTGATCTCTAAAACTATTATCTCATTCTTCTTTATCATCAGAATCCCCCTTATATCGAACCTCATACAACTACCTTAAAGCTGACTGGGAATCTTTCCATGATTTTCTTTGTGATGGGTATTAATTCGTATTGGGTAGAAACTTTTCGTCTTTATACTGACAAATGTGCTTCTGATGTAATTTCTTGGATTCAGGCTGGCATGGAATCTTCTATTCCCTCTCGACGATTCCAAGTCAAGCCTCACTTTTCTCCATGATTTTCCTCTCATTGTGCTGCTGCAATCTCCAATCGCAACCATTACTTTCATATCTATCGCCAAAACAATTCTCCAGAAAACAGACATCTGATCACTATTGCTAGAAACCACTGTAAGAAGGTTTTGTCTGACGCCAAAACCCGCTATTCTCAGGTCATGAATTCTTGTATTTCATCTCAAAAATTAGGCTCTCGAGACTTCTGGAGAATCTTTAACAGTGTCAATAATAAGGGCAAATCTGTTATTCCTCCACTTTTACACGGTTCAGATTTTGTTACTTCACCTTAAGACAAAGCTGAATTGTTTGCTAAGAACTTTTCATCAATCTCATCTCTTGATTCCACTAATCACATCCTACCTGATACAGCTGACAAACAGGTTGATCCATTGCTTGACATTCGTATCACCCCTGCTTCTGTATCCAGAGCGATTTCATGCTTAGACTCTTCTACAGCTTGTGGTCCAGACAACATACCTGTTATAGTCTTGCAGAAGTGTTCTCCCGAGCTGTCGTCTATTCCTTCAAAACTATTTAACAAGTGCTTATCAGAGACTTGTTTTCCAGCCTGCTGGAAAGCATCTTCTGTTATCCCTATTTTCAAAAATTCTGGAGAGGGATCTGACTCGTCCAGCTACCGTCCCATTAGTCTTCTTTCTATAATAAGCAAGATTTTTGAGTCTTTAATCAACTAACACTTAATCTCTCATCTGGAATCAAATAACCTACTTTTTGATCATTTATATGGATTTCAATCTTCTTGTTATACTGCTGATTTATTAACGGTAATTACTAATAGGTTTTATTGTACATTAAATAGATGTGAAGAGATTAAGGCTATTGGTCTTGACATTTCTAAAGCTTTTGATAAAGTTTGGTATGCTGGTCTTATCCGTAAGCTATCTTCCTTAGATGTATCAAGTAATATCTTTACAATTATTAAAACCTCCCTTACCAATTGTAGTATTAAAGTTGTCCTCGATGGACAGCACTCGTCTTTGTTTCCTATAACTTCAGGGGTTCCTCAAGCTTCTATCCTTGGCCTTATTCTTTTTTTAATTTATATTAATGATCTCTCAGAAATTCTCACATCTAAGGTGGCATTGTTTGCTGACAATACTACCATTTATGCTTGTCTTGATAAAAAGCCAACACTCTCTGATCACTTGGAGCAGGCATTTGAGCTTGAAAAGAATCACACTTCTGCTACAGCTTGGGGCTCTCGGTGGCTGGTGAACTTTAATTCAGATAAAACTCAACTTTTCTCAGCCAATTGTTATCCCAATGGTCTAGATCTTCCTATATATATGAATGGCAATGTACTTGATGAGTCATCTACCCTTCGTCTTCTAGGATTAACTCTTACTTCTGATCTTTCTTGGAAATCATATATCAAATCAATTGCATTATTAGCATCTGCTAAGGTTGCCTCTCTTTATCGTGCTCGTCATTTTCTTACTCGGGATTCTATTCTTTATCTTTATAAATCTCAAACCCGACCTTGTATGGAATACTATTGCCATATCTGGAGCGGATCTTCAAATGATATTCTTTCTCTTTTAGGTAAGGTGCAAAAACGCATTGTAGACATAGTTGGACCTGCTCTTGCAGCCAACCTTCAACCATTATCACATTGTCGTAATGTTGCTTCTCTTTCTCTTTTTTATAAATATTATAATAGGCGCTGCTCTAAGGAGCTAGCATCTCTTGTGCCATCTACTAAAATTCATTCTCGTGTTACTCGTCACTCAATTAAGTCTCATCCTTTTACAGTGATTGTTCCTAAGTGCTCCAAAAGTTCTTTTTCGTCTAGTTTTTTTTCTCGAACATCTGTCCTTTGGAATTTGCTTCTTTTATCCTGTTGTCCTGATTCATATATTTTGCAATTTTT